TGAAGATATGCTACGAGCATGCGTCCTAGATTGGTCTAGAAAGTGGGAGAAATACATTCGCTTAGTTGAATTTATGTATAATAATAGCTACCAAGCTTCGATTGGGATGGCTCCCTATGAGGCTTTGTATGGACGACGATGTAGATCTCCGATGCATTGGGATGAATTAGGAGAAAGAACATTGCTAGGATCGAATTGGTACAACAAATAGCCGAAGTAGTAGACCACATCCGCCAATGGATGAAAGCAACCCAAAGTAGACGGAAAAGTTACGCGGACAAACGGAGGAAGGATCTAAAGTTCGTGGTCGGTGATTATGTATTTTTAAGAGTCTCACCAATGAAAGGTGTACTACGATTTGGGAAAAGGGAAAAGTTAAACCCACGGAACATAGGACCGTTTGAGATACTTGGAACGAGTAGGAGATAAAGCGTATCGCATATTGCTATCACCATCCTTAGCAGGAATACACAATGTATTTCATGTGTCTATGCTAAGGAAGTGCATTGGAGAGCTGGGTCAAATTTTGAATATAGAGCCACCGAATCTTACTCCGGATTTAATGTACGAAGAGAGACCGGTCCGGATTCTCGATCGACGGATCAAACGAGTTGAAAAATAAGGAGATAGAGCTAGTTAAGGTTTTGTGAGAAAACCATAACCTCGAAGAAATGACTTGGGAACGTGAGCAAGAAATGAAAGATAAATACCCCAAGTTATTCAAGTGAATCAATTTCGATGACGAAATTTCTTTTAAGGAGGGAAGAATTGTAACCTCCGTAAAAACCCTTATCCGTAACGCGATGTGTATTAGAATAATTCTATATATATGTATATTAAGAGTAAGTATAATTATCATTTCATCATGAGAAATTAATGCTTGAAATATGTGATTTATGTTAAATTAAAGTTATTGTGCTTAAGATTAATGGTTTAATTATTAAAGAAATCAAATATGCAAAATCGGTGTTTTAAGGACTATATTCCGCCCGAGTTTTGTGTGAATTGTTTGAGGCCTTTAGGGTAATTTTTGGGTCAACCTTAAAGAATGAAAGTTGTTCATCTATGTGTGGAATAGATCTGTACAAACGTTTATAATATTTAGACCTATACATTAATAGTTATACCAATTATAGTGAGGGTTGTTTCGAAATGCATTCTACTGGAATTTTGAGAGAAGAATCCGTCCGAATCTTATGAGATTTATTTCATACTTGTTAGATTGATTTTGAGAAAACCTTTAAGAATCAAAGTTGGTTTTCTATGTGTATACTAGCTCTCTATAAAATTTCATAATTTTTGGATACATATAGAAAGAGTTATGCACATTTTAGTATAGATGGGTTAGGAGGTAACACTCGTTGAAATTTTAGAGAAAAAGAAATTCTGAATTTTAAAAATGGAAATTTTTGAATTTTTTATGAAAGAAATTATGTCTAATTACATGAAACCAGATTATTAATGTGTTTATTTAGCCTAAGTTTTCTTTAGCCACCTAAGCACTTGAATTAAATGCTTGGAAGCCAAATCATCACCTTTGACTTCCAAAACGTGCCGACTTTGCCTTCCAAGCTTCTTCCACTTTACATTTGGCCTAGTTAAATTTTAATACTTATGATATAAATAAATGAGAGGATAAAAGGTGAGTATATAAGGGAAAGAGAGGGTTAAATGAATACCAATTTTAGGCCAAAAATCGTAGCCATCTAGAATTAAAAGAGAAGTCAAATTGAAGAGAGAAAAATAGCAAAAAGAGAGAAAGAAAGAAAAGAGAAAGAGAAAGGGAAAAAGGAAAGAAAAAGAGCTAAGGAAATTCTAATCAAACCTAAAAGAGGTATGTAGGTTTCATTTTTTTGGCTGATTAATGTCTTAGATTATTTTTTTTAAGTTATTTTGTTAGTATTTATTTCATGGGTTGTAATAATTTTCAATGGTTATATGCTTGATGCTTGGGATAAATCTATGTATGGATGCCTTGTTGTGATGATTTATGATGTTATAATTTTTTGAAAAATATCCAAGTATGTGGTGATGGGTTGGATTGAACTTGGACTAAATTTAAGTGAACTAAACCATGTTTAAAGTTGACTTGGAATGAACTAATAAATTAGTGTTGATAAGGAGTAAATTCTGTCCGAATTTTGGGGTGCATGTTTTAGGATTTTAGGTCGATTTCTGAGTGAAACTTAAAGAATACAAGTTTTTCATCTATGTTTCAAATAACGTCCTTTAAAATGTCTTGGTCATTGGATTCGTTTACAAAGAGTTATACCCGATTTAGTATGGACTGCTCTAGACAAACTACTACTTGGCGATTGCTCCCTAAGTTTCAAAATTTGTAATTAATTGTGTACATGGGATTTAGACCTAATTTTTGGATATGTTATAAATAAATATGTCTAGTATCTAAAATAAAATGGGTAAGATTTAATTATGTTCTTAAATTGAAAAATTATTTACTCGATTAGGAGTTGCCCGATAATAAACCCTAAAACCAAAGAATTAGACTTGGACAAAATTAATGGGTTTGGAATAAACTAAATGGGCTTGGACTAAATAAAATGGAATTGAATAAATTCAATAAACTTAGGATAAAGTTAATGGCCTTGGATTAAAGTAAATGGACTTGGACCTTCTTTTAAATATTAACGAAACTAATTAACAATATTAATGAGCGGAGGTTGTGTTCTCGCTATGAGTATCATGATTGGTATGTGAGTAACGGGTAAATTCCGAGTGTGGGTTGGACCGTGAGTATGGCATGAGAATGAAGAGTTGGTACCCGAATTTGGTTGAATGTGATTAAATATGTCATCACGTGTATCATGTGCATAGTGGGTGGTTTAAGACAAGTCAATTGATTGAGAAATGGTTTATACATCTAGGTTTGATAACTTAACTGGAATAAATGGGTATTAGTAGTCCAATACTCTAGGTTGTATGCCTACACTATTAGACGATGGATTTTCGCTAATAGTAGTTACAACGAGGGATAATTCCGTTGTAGCGAGAAGATGATCCGATGATCATCTCGATGAAATCAAGTTGTGTGCTTGCACTCTGTTAGACGATGGATTCCCGCTAACGGTAGTTACAACGAGGGATAATTCCGTTGTAGCGAAGGTGATCTACGGACCACCCGGATGATAAATAGAGCGGATCGGCTAATACCTGTGGTACCCGAGAATAAAATTTATGAGTATGGTGGGAAGTCAAAACAACATTGCATATCACGTGCATCATCCCGCTTACCGAGCTTCGGCTCACCTTGTTGTTATTTTTTTTATGTCTTGATAGAAAAAGGACAAGTTGGTACGGATGCGGTCGGCTCCTCCTAACCGGCTCATATGAGGCACCATATATTAGTTTTTATTTTATCCGTAAATTTGGGGTATGAAGTTCGTGAGAAATTGAATATTGCCTGTAATGTTTTATTAATGTATTCAATTATGTTATGTAAATTTTATCTTAAGGAGTTATATACATAATTTACTCGTTAATGTTCTAAGAATATCATAAGAAAACTACTTAGAGTTTAGGGTATGTCGGCGTAACGCGCTTCGTCCGATACCTACTTGGGTAGTAGAAATATGATCGGGGTGGGGGCGTTACAGCTAGCATCGCTTGTCCGTCGCCATCCCACGCTCCACCACACGTGTAAGTAAAGTTCTAACACCTATGCAACTAAAAGGCATGCGTCTTCTTCTCTTTTTGCCTCCTTTTATTCATTTTGTACCCCGAGCTTCTAAGTATTTGAATCCTTGAGTTTTTAATCATTGATTTAATTTTCATCCGAATTTCATATGTTGCTTGGTTATTTTATTAATTCATATTATGATAATATTAATTATGTGGCTAATATAAAATATGAATGATTTATTGAATTAAAATTATTTTATTTTAGGTTTAATTGAAAGCAATTCAATTAGAGTTTTTCATTTCTCTAACTAGAATAAAGAGTATTGATATTTTTAGAGTTCTTCCTAATTTAATTTTATTTAATTTTATTTCTTTTAAACTAGGATTCACGAGTGACTCGTCATATATTATATATTATCCGATTTTATTTTCATATAAAAAGTTCTAGAGAAGCTTTTTGTAATTGATGAAGCTAGCAATAGGTTAGCATTTTTTTTTATCCGGTGAAAAAATTAAAATAAGCCAATACAAATCGATATGCCAAGGATCTTGTGAAGATTAATTGAATATTTTATTTTCTATGAGGTCATCTTTAAATAATTTATGGTCCTTTCATGCCTAATGCCTAATTTGTTTATGTTTTGCACTTGACATGTTTATTTAATATAATGTCAATTTATGTCGGTTTAGATGGATAAGTTTAAGACTTAAGATTAATTTTGTTTCAATGGAAGAACTTTTATTATTTATCTTATTACTATTACTATTTTTTTTTAAAGTATCACTAACTTTGTCTTTTTGGAAATTCTACTCTAAATTTGGTATTGAGCCTTGAGTCCCAATTTTAACATACTTTTTAAATGGCATGATAGGTAGGGATGATCATTCGGTTAAACGGTTTGGTTAAGCTTAATTTAGTTCGGTTTTCGGTTAACCGAATTAGAAAAAATGAAAACCGAATCCTAACCAAAATTAATTCGGTTAATTTGGTTTGAAACCGAATTATTTCGGTTCGATTTCGAAATAATTCGGTTAACCGAACTTTTTGTTGTAAAAAAAAAAAAAATTCAGCTCGTAAAAAATGTACTTGTCCGATCATAATCCCTAAATTTTTCATCCCCAAATCTAGCATCTTGAATTAATACTCTCCAACTATTAACACCAAGATCATAGTCATGTTAGCACAATCCTTCAACATAAAATATAACTTGCGAACAAAAAAAAAAAAGCAAAAGAAATTGAATGCTTAGCATTTAGCAACAACTTTAGAGATCTTAATTTGTGATAGCCAATAGGAAGCTAAGGCTAACACGTTGAATTTCTTTCGGGTTGAAGCCCTAGAAGAATTAGAAAAAAGGGTATCATTTTTTGTAGCGGATCTCTTGGTTCCGGACTCGGATATTAGGGTGATGTTTCCTGCTGGTGGTTTCGGAGCGAGTTGTGGCCATTGACTTAGCAGGAATAGATAGTCTTCTAGGTGGCTTAGCAGATTTGTCCTTGCCAAAGAGATCAAGGACACCCATACTTTTACTCAAAGTTGATGCGAGCTTTCCCCCGAAAAATAAACACAACCCTAGAGTTAAAAGTCTATAAATATAAAATATATGTTTAATTAAGAAAAAAAAAGGGAGAGAATTTACGAGTTTGAATTGATCGGAGATGTTGGTACCTCTTGGAAGCAAAAGAAGAAAGAGAGAGTTGTGGTTTATCTTTGTCATCCTTGGATTTGGTGGCGGATCTCAATGGATACTTAACTTGGATTTTCCTAATTTCCATTATACACAAAAACAACAAAATTAAAAAAAATATATATTTCCATTATACACACTAACAAGGAAATTAAGAAGAAAAGGAGGAGAGAAAAACAATACAAAGATTATAGTATATACCGCAAGAACAATAGTAGACTCGTCGCTCTTTCACGCTTTTTAATTCCATGAGATGTTTGATTTGAGCAGACTAAGATTTGAGACACTCACCCAATCCTATTCATATACGAAATGCTAAATGACCAGCAAAACAAACTAGATACATGACAACAAAATATCCTCAGCAAAAGAAAATAATTCCAAATCGGATGCATCCCGGATACGGATAAGGCTTAACAAGGATTATGGATAAAAAATATCACTACTACATATCAAAATGATCAACTTTGACTACTTCCTAAAAAAAACCGAAGCAACAAGTCACCCTAACTTCCACACAAAAAAAACACTAGTTTACCTTCATGAGAATAATGTCCGAAGCTCGCCCTGACTTTCGAATCACACATTTTGGCTTGATGACCGTCATTCAAAACAATCCTCACACTTATTAAAATCCTCCCAAGTCACAAAACAATTGAATAACCTAATCCCAAAAGCGAGATAATACTTGTGGAACTTTAGCTATTTAAAGGTGATATATGCTTGAATTTGAAGGGATTTGAGTTCGCAAACCGGTTGCGAATCCTTTCATTCATAGAAAGGATGTATGTCCGATAAACGATCATACACTTTTTTTCTAGCGAGAACCCCCCAATCATGCATTTTCCTTTTCTTAATCCGTGTTAAAAATTAAATCAATGACAATATGACAATACAAAATAGAGTTCATATTGATTTGTTAATTTGATAATCTTGCCCAATAGTCCAATACATTATTGTTAATTTGTTATCACTATCGGTAAAATAAAAAAATAAAAAAATAAAAGAGACCGACCTTGGGACTAAGGAGAGCTCGCGAGAAGAGGAAGACACGAAGAGTAAGCGAGGGCCGAGGCGACCGGAGACCCGAGTAATAAGAGGAAGGTGGTGATTGATAAGGATGACCGTGACTCCGTGAGATCAAAGAAGATGACGGGGCTTACTGGGTTGTTACTTGCGACTTGCGAGGGCGGGTGACGGGATGAGCAAGCCGGAGTCCGGAGGACTAGAGTGGAGAGTGGAGAAGAAGGGAATGAAGCCGAAGGAGATTAGGGAAAAGACGGTGAGATGAGTTGATGGAGTGGAGGATGATCGCGATTCGCATGAGTCGGTGACGGTGAGGGTTTCGAAAGAGAGAGTGAGAGAAAGAAGGGACTAAAGTTAGGGTTAGCCGGTTAGGGATTTAGAATAAGAATAAGATTTTTTTTTTAATTTTTACTTGTTCATTCGGTTTTCGGTTAAAACCAAACTTTTTTTCAAAAAGCTGAACCAAACCGAAATAATTTTGATTTTTTCAGTTCGGTTTTGAAGTGTATAATTTTTAATTTAAAACCGAACCAAATTCCTTAATACGGTCCGATTTTATTCGGTTTTCGGTTAACCGAACCGTTTGCTCACCCCTAATGATAGGTTGATATGGACTAAGTCCGGTGTCTTTATTTTTCTAGGATTTTTTTATTCATGCATTTTGGAATTTGTAATTTTTATTTTAATGGTTTGCTAGGTAAAGTTAAAACTAAGGTCTAAACTTGTTATTATTTTATTTTATGTTATTCTTTGACTTTGATTGCTTAATTTGCAAATAGGTTATGTATATCCCAAGATACTCCCTATCCGAGTCCTAACTAAAGCTTGGTCGTGGAGCTAATAAATGTGTTTGTGCAAGAAAAAAATAACAATCTTACACCTAATCCGCAAAACAAAGCAAAGCACAATGCAACACAAAATAAGGCAAAACAATCATGAATCATAATAGAAATGACATTCAATAAAGACTAATTATGAAACAACACATATAATTTCCAAAGAAAGAAAAGAAACTATGAGTTAACCTTTTAGTTTTTAGTGAAGTTGTTATTACGTTATACGGTGACCTTTTAGCAATCGTAAAAATAAATATGTTCAATAAGTAGAGTTGCCACTTAGTCTTCTAAAAGTGAAAACTAAGAAAAACACTACCAAACTGGTTTAAGAATTCCGAATAAAATGATTGATTACACAACCAAAGAATACTATGCTCAATCTAATATGTTTTCATAATGAGGTTATCATTCAATTCTAATCTATGAAATTTTTTTTTACAAAGTTTAATTATGTGTCTACTTTTATATCCTAATTTATAAGTTGATTTTTTGGTTTTTTCTAATCAATCTTAAATGAGAAATGATTTGAAGACAAAAAAACGAGATTAAATCTCTTGCCTAAGTTGCTATTAAATTGTTAGATCCCATTTGAAAAAGTGAAAGTTAGGTCTTAAACCAATTTGCAAATTAAGAAACCAAACCCCATACAAAGATATATATATATATATATATATATATATGGACCATAGGCCAAAAATTCACCTACCAAACCATGTAATAAAACTTCAAGTCAAAAAAAAAAAAAAAAAGAATTCCAAAAATATGAGCTTGGGTTTTGATCCCATATCCACCGCCATGCAACTTTAAAATAATAAGATTAAGTCCGATGTCTAATATAAATTCAAAACTAAATTTGCAAGAAGACAAAATTAGTAGTACTGAAAATAAATAATAAAAAATAAAGTAAAATATGCAAAAATAAATGTAAAAAAATAATGATAATAAAAGCTCGTCATTGGAACAAATTAATTTGATCTCGGATTCTAAATTTATTCTATCTAAATTAGCCTAAACTGACATTACATTCAAATAAACACAAAAATTACAAGACATAATAAAATTAAATATTCAACGATCACAAATAATATAAAGAGCTCCACAAAAAAATAAAATAGCTAATTAGCATTCACAAGGTCATTGGCTTATTAATTCATATTGGTCTATTTTATTTTTCCAAATATATATATAGATATATATATATATTAACCTATTGTTAACTTCTGTCATTGACTAGTAGTTCCTCAAAGACTTTATTAAATAAAATAAAATAATTATGTGTTACATAGCATGTATCACTCTTTACTCCTTAATAAATAATAATAATAATAATAAAATAGGATAAATTTTAGAAATATCACATACTATCTACCCTAATAAATTAAATTTTAAATACATAAAGAGTAAAGAATATAAATTTACAGCCTTTTAAACCTACCAAGTAATATCAAAGACTCTAAATTTAAATCTTTTCAATTAAGCTCAAATTAAATAGTTTTAATTCAATTAATCATCTAAATATTATGTTAACCACATAATTGATATTACCAAAATACAAATAAAAAAGATAATCATGCAATCCATAAAAATTCAGATGAAAATTAAATAAAAAAATGGAAAGCGTAGAGATTTAAACACCAAAATTGATGAAGAGAAGGAAGGAAGAAACCACAAACCTGCGCATTAGGCGTGTGTGGCAGGAGTAGCAGATTCTTACTTGTGAGTGTGAGGGCGTGTTCGGCATCGATCAGGCGGTGGACTGGTGCCACATGAATCGTCTCCTCTTTCTGTTTCTGTGGTTCAACGCATGCTAAATTCCGATAACCGAAGGATGTATGGCGAAGCTAGAAACTTTAGCCTATGTTTTTCCTTTCTTGTCTCTTTGATAGCTTTCTATGTTTTTTTTTTTTTTTTTTGCTAGATTTTATTTTTGGTTCCGGTCTGTTTGTGCGTATATACATGATATTTATATGTATGCACTGGTTTAGAGTTTTTTTCTATTCTGATTTTTTCTTTTTTATTATTAATCAGGCTTAAATAAGCTGACTGAATACCCACTGCATGATTGTTCTGATCTAGACTTATTAGTTCCCTTTGTTTTTTTTTTTTTTTTTTGTTTTTTTTTTTTGTGAGGTTAAAAATGAGACATTTTGTACTTTTGTGACGATAAAAATGAGATGATGACAGTTTTTGTATGGATAGGATCAAAATTCTGAATTTGCTGCTTGAAAAGTTACAACTGAAAAGTCGTATAGCGGAATGGGAACTACCATGATCAATTCAATTATACAATCATTCGAATAAACCATCAGTTCCGAGATGAGTGTTTCGGTGGGTGGATCAAGTATTATGCAGGAAGTTACCCTTAACTCCTTATCTCCTTCCGGCAAACTAAAGATTTCCTCAAATTGAGGGAATTTCTTGAAAATTTCCAACAAATTTAACGTCTCGCGTTGCGAATTGACCCTGAATCCATCAGAATTGGTGAATATGAAAATATTGAAGGATATATCTACTCTTGGTTCATCCAATGTATCCAATGTCAAACACTTGAAGCTTCAAATCATTAACAAATTGACCCCACTACAATTGAAAGCTCTTATAAATGGCTTATTTTGGGCAACTCACCTAGCGTCTGTATTGCTCATATCACACCGGGATGAATTGATCAAATTCCAAAGTGAAAAGAAAATCGTTGGGCCACATATTGCTTTATCAAAAGTTGGCGGCCCGACATAAAAGGTGTCTCCATGTCAAGCACCTAGAACTAGATGCAGAGGCAGAGGCTGGGATGAAGGTTAGATTTGTATTCAAATGGTGATCCAATTCATTCATCGAGGATGCAATCAGAATAAGGAAGCGGTAATTCTTCTAATTCAACTGTACCGCTTAAGTAATCTTACTGCTCGAAATATAACTATCATGTGGAATTGTAATCAAAGAAATCTCACTATAAATGTGTCATTAAATATTTTTTTGTGCCTTAAAATTTTTTATTAAAAAATCAAAGAAAAAAAAAGGTCAAAGTGACCAAAAAAAACAAAAAACAAAAAAAAGGAACCGAAACCAAAAAAAATATTTTACGAATTAAAAAAATCATATTTAAAAAAGAGGAATTAAAGTGCAATATTGAGAAAACTTTCATTATAAATATATTAAAAATGTTTGAAAACTATAAAAATACTATTATATAGTGAAAGTAATATTACATTTGAGTA